CTACTTTTATCTGTGTGTCTTTGAAAAGTTTTGTAATTTTCCTCACTTCTTTTGTACTATATGTAAATATGGCCCACTTTGTTTTATGTTGTTGTTTGCTGTCATGTGTGTTTGGTTTTTGTTTTTGTGTTGTCTGATTTAATCTTTTGATTATGTTTGTGTCGTATCCATTGTTCTGTAGTATGTTTTTAACAATGTTCTTCTCTGTTTGCTTTCCTTTTTCCGTTATTGGGTATGCGTTGAGTCTATTTATTAGGTAATTAATACCCGACAATTTGTGCTTGAATGGATGGCACGAACTGTTAGGTATTATGATGTCTGTTTGTGTGGGTTTCCTATATATTGTGAATTGCAAACTATCTTCATTGCGATATATTGTTATATCTAGAAAGTTAATTGATTCTTGTTGTTCTCTTTCAATGGTGAACTTTATATTTTGTTGCAATTCATTGATTTCTTTAAGTGTATGTTCTATGTTTGTTATTTTTTCATCATATATTATTAATATGTCATCGACATATCTGAAGTAGTTTATTATAGTGCTATTACAACAAAGTCAAAATTAACGTGTGTAAAATGAAGTAATCTACGGACCAGACAGATATCAACGAAGTGGAGGTTGATGGTAACAAGGAAAGTGTTTTTAGATGTTAAATTTTGAGCTGGGTGCAGTGTCACAGCGACGTGAGTGTTATACGCCTGATGATGGCCGTCTGAGGCCGAAACCTGTAGTGTAGGGGAACAAGATCAAAGACACAAAATATATTGTTTGCACTTGAGACGGAGTTTGTATCATTATATCATTTATCATATGGAGTGCAACAGAATGCTTAAATATAATAGTGTATCCAAACCATTCAACTTATATTAAAATATGTAAGTTCTCAAATAATTTGTTATGTGTTATAGTGCCTGGGACAAACTTGGTACCTGGCAGTGGATTTTCAGTGTTTTGTAATGTCCATGTTGGTGTTGATCCTTCTCTGCAAGTATCCTCAATTTGACAAGATAATACTGGGTGCAGTGATGTTACTGTGGATCCTTGTTCCCTTTCTTCAAACCTATATTGAGAGATTAGATCCCATGGTAATTAATTATCCTGAGTAAGTAAATTCTTTCTTTCTTGTGTACATAAAACTGCATTTGAGGTACAGCACAGATGGTCAAATGGCGTCTGAACAGTAATGCAGAGATGTAGATGGATGAACAGCTATTCGTAATTGTGATCGAGCTACAGATATAACTATGTATAGTGAAATCTTAACTACTGAGACTATTTCATAAGTGGTCCTAATGAAGGTATATAAATAATGAATCAGCTTAGCTAATAAAGATTTTATAAATGTAAATGGCACAAACAGAACTAAAGGTAATTTCACTGTTATGATTAGCAGACTTTATATAACAAACTGTACTTCAGGATTCATCACACTGAGGAATGGCATTTTAATTTTATGCATTTTTATGCTTGGTGCTTAAAATAAATTCATAATGATAGTGTAATTTTCTTCTGTCCATTTATCCACATGTTTCACCTCTTAAAGTATTTAAATTGAGTTTTATTAAATATGTTATTGGAGGTCCGTAACAAAAGTCTTACAAATTTCATTCGCTTTACATTAGTCCAGTATAGTTTGTATGCTGAAAGTCATCTCTTATCAAATTTTCAATTCAGACAGAAAGTTATATTACACAAAATACATAACTTTCTTTTTAAATATTTTTATATGGTATTTAACAGAAGACAGATAATATTGATGCTCTTCTTCACTTTTGTCAGTAAGAAATATTCCACAATATTTACAATGTATCTCTACTGTTGATGTCAACAACAGACTTCATCTTAAATGCATAGATATCTAAACTGTGTTCATAGATTTAAAATCATAAAAAGTGCACACGCAAAGTCTTTTGCTACAAATTGAAATACGTATATCTCTCCATTATTGCTGATGATGATCATGAAATAAAGTTAGATGGGCACCTCATCATCATAAATATTCTTGCATGCCATATTATTTTCAGTGTTCAGTGTAATTTCAGATTTTAACAAGAGCTATAGCCTTGCAGCCCCTGCCCCTCAACTGTTACTGTATAAACATATATAAATGATTCACCAATGAACTATATCACTTTTGGGATTATGTTTCAGTACACTTATAAACCTACAGCAAAACAGAACTTTCCAGAGGATGTATGTACCATTTCATGGGAATGCTGGAGCTTACTTTGTAGGAGTTATTTTTGGTTACATATACTACAATGCAAAACGTAACACTGTGAAAAGAACAAGAGTGAGTACCCAGTTTTTTTTATCAGTATGTACAATCTCATGATCATAAATTGAATCCATTAAAGCTGTCTTATCAATTATAAATCTTGATGTGTGTAGATACATACACATGTAAGCCTGCATATAATCATATAACATCAATCTGTTGCTATGCAAACCAATCACAATTTCAAGAAAATTGGTTTATTATGCCTTCCCATACCATGCATGAAATACTTAACTTAAAACACTGGTTCTCATAATCTGAACTGGTTGTGTGCAAAATTCTGTGAAATATATTTTAACGGATTTGATCAACACATTGCCAGACAAGAGCTCTATAAACACAGTCCAATACACAATAACATAGGAAGCTGTGTTTTCTGTAGGTCCAACTGACATGCAAATATTTTGGCTGGATAGCCATCATGTGATATGTATTTACTGTAGGTCCATGTCCATTCCGCAGCTATATTAAGTGACAGGGTTCATTCAAATCACTTACAAGTGGTAGTAGTGGCAGAATCACACAAAGAAGAAAGCAAGCAGTAAGCTCAAGGAGTACAGAAGAGTACAAAGTCAGCCTGTGAAGATTTAACCTGTGATTTGAAGACTTTATGTGTGCTATAGTGCAGTTGTATTGGGAGTGTGATTTAGGGAGACTTTCATAGTTCCTTTGTTATAAATGTGTGAAGACCAGTGGAGAATAGCGTGCAGTGCTCTGTAGTGTGAAAATCAGTAACAGTGTTATAATTAATTGTAGTTACAACCTGTAAGTGGTCAATAAATCCAATTACCAATCTGAACCCCATCTTTAGTCACTGTGATATGTCACAGTATGATGGTTTATGCCAGTTTAATTTCTGATATCTTACACGAATATTTCTAAACCTTTTTCAGTTGACATACCATTTGGTCTCGGACTGAAACTTCCTGTACCCCTTCAAAGCTGACTAAATTTGTATATCAAACTACAAACATGACAAGATATAGGGACTTTTTAAATTAAAATTTCTTTCTTGCACATAAACAAAAACTGTACAAAAGAATATTGCTGTTGCATTTGAGGCCCTTCTAACCTGTAATTAAAAGGTATATGAAATATATTTCACTTGTCCCTTTAAAGGCTTTACATATTCCTGGGGGTACACCTACCTCCATTTCAAAACGGCTGCCCTGGGCTTCCCTTGACTGAAGAGTGACGTTTGGATGTTCTCTCTTACTATTATTCCAAGAACTACTGTGATCCACAGCTTTGTTTGACTGTTGTGAAGCATCAAACCTGTTCAAGGTTTCAACCTGATACTGTTCTTTCACTTCAAAACCATTTACATTCTTGAGAAAAACTCTCTCTCTCTCTCTCTCTGTGTTCTGCTTTCTTGCGTATCTACTGAACATTTCTCCTTATCATCAGACAGTGGTCAGTTCCATTGTTGCTTACTGCAATCATAGTTGAGTGCTTTCATCTATTACAATGTGATCATTCTCATTGCTTTTTCATTCACTACAAATTCTTTAACAGCAACAATTAACATTTTGAAGGTATTTACTTCTTACATGCATACATGATGCAATATCATTCCTGAATAGGATCTGAGATTCTCACAGCAATGGTTGTGAAGAGTTCTATCTTCTAGGATATTGCACTGTGTAGTCCATTGAAAGTCATTCCATGTTTCAGAGGAACATGTTAGCTCAGTCTTCAAAGTGTGAAGCAGGTAGCAAGCAGAGCAATCAGCTTGCCAAAATTTCAGTTTATAGAGTAAGCAGGATGGAAATACAAGACAAGTCAGTTCCTGCTGGTTCACCCATAGGACAGAATTAAATAATAAGAGTGCTAGAACAACTTACCAATTTCCATTTGCAATCTCATAACTGAATGAAAAAATGGCAGATGAGACCAAGACAATCAGTGTGGCCATGGGAAGGGCTGTATTTGTACTGTAAGGGTATGGTGGGGATGAACTGGAGAGAAATTGTGTGTGTGGGTACTAGGCATATGGTGGAGAATAGAGGAGCAGAAGTAGCAGAGTGAATCTGGGACAGGAGTAGAGGCTCAGGGCTGATGAGTGCCTTGAGAAAGCAGGACTCATGCAGCCCTGTGGAGAACACAGCTCTAGACTCCTGTGATCTTTCAGGAAGCCGATGAGTGGTTTCCATGTGTTACCTAGACACAAGCCATTCTTTGGTCTACATCACAGAAACCTTTCATCTGCTCCCTGAAAAACTGTACAAAGCACAAGGGCTGCAGCTTATATTGGTATACATGTCGTTCCTGTTCTGCAATAATGCCCATCATCAGACTCTGCTCTAATTTTCCCAAGGATGGAAGCATTCCACTGGTTCTACACAGCAGAAATGTACGATGGTATGTTCTGATTATAATGCTTAGAAGAGTCAGGGACTGATAGAAATACTTCCAGTTTTGGTATGCCTCATGACAGGAGTATTTGGTAGTAGACTGCATATTTTGAAGCCTGCATCTTGTAACACAAACATCATCATCAGTAGGCATCTTAGTTCCAGCACTGGTGTCATAATCCTCTTTCCAGCATATTCTTTGTTATCCATTTAGAACATACTGGGTATTTCAGAACCATAACCATATCCAACTATGTAAACCTTACTGTGTTTTGAAAATGTATAATACAACACAATGAAATACAAACTGGTTTTGAATTGTTTCATTTTTAGTCCGTTACACTATCAATCACAGAGTTAGTAGAGAGTCCGTCGAGTGTAACAATTTGTAGGTCACTTTTTTAGTATCACTTCTGCCTTACATGTTTCGGTTTGATACAACCATCATCAGAGGCACTTGCTATAACTATGGAAACACTGTCGTTGTTTATGATGTTCACAGTTATGTTTGTCGTGTAGACACTGCTACAATATGTTGACGTGTAAAAGCACAAAACTTACTAAGATCTTAGTGTGAACATCATAAACAACGACAGTGTTTCCATAGTTATAGCAAGTGCCTCTGATGATGGTTGTATCAAACCGAAACATGTAAGGCAGAAGTGATACTAAAAAAGTGACCTACAAATTGTTACACTCGACGGACTCTCTACTAACTCTGTAACAAACTGGTTCTTTTATACACATGTTTTATATGGTCATTTTACTGCCTATGTAATTAAGCAACTACCAATAGTGAAAGGTGATGATGGACAGACAAAGGACCATCTAATTTAACCTACTGTAAAACTAAAGCTACTTAAAAATGAAAAATGTATTTGCTTATAAAATCTATAAAGTTATAAATATCAGAGCATACGATTAACTAACACACACCAAATTCTATAACTTACTTTCACAATTATTTACAGTTTGTCCTTGTTTTCAGCTGATGTATGTATTGGTCTGGTCAATATCTCTGACTGTGCCATGGACATTCTTCATGCTGAGCTTCATATTCTATCAGCCCAGTTACAAATATAATGTCCTTTCAGCTAGTTTCTATGCTTGTGCATACAAGACTCTTTTTGGCACTGGAATAGCAGTTTTGGTCACAGGATTTGCTTTAGGATACGGGTGTAAGTCCTACTTCAAACAGTGATCATTACTATGTATAAGAGAATAAGTTGATATGGTTTAAACTAATTCAATTTTGATTCTGTAGGGATATGCAATAGCATTGTATCATGGAAACCATTCCAAGTCCTTGGAAGACTTACATATACGATATACTTCACTCACTTCTCCTTGCAGAGATTGCAAGCTGGAGCTACAAAGCAGCCTGTGTACCTTGATGAGTACTCACTGGTTAGTTGAAATGATGTTTTTCAATGATAGCCATATAATGCTTTTCTCTTGGTCAGTGATTTCCAAACAATGTGCCCCAGGGATCCATTTCTGTTATAGGCAGATTAAATACTAGATAATGAAGATCTGAAACTTCTTTTCAAGCACTCACACAACTCGTACTTCACAGATGAAAGGTATCTGTATGTATGTTCTCCAATCACAACTCAAACTCAAATAATACACTTGGAAAAAGATTCAGGAATCAGGCTTATATTTATTTGTAGTTAGCATTCATATTTTGAGAAATGGGTGTTCTATATTTCTGGATCACAAATATGACATGTCTTGTGCGTGAAATCCTTTTTCAGGATTAGTGGAGGTAAACAATTTATTTGTTCAAAATCATTGGAGCCTGATTAGCATTGCTAGATTCTACACTGCTGCTATGATTCACTGATTTTACTCTATTATTATTATTATTATTATTATTATTATTATTATTATTAGAGGGGGTGGGTTTCCCCATGCACTTAGACCAGTCAGATTTTACTCTAACTCATGTCTGGGACAATGTGATTCAACCGTCTAAATATGCACTGCATGAGAACAGAGCTCTGTAGTACTTTCAGGCAGCAATGAATTTACAGTAAGGAAAAAAAAATATCCCTCATATACTACAACAAAATTTTCAAACAGCTGCCTGTCTTCTATGCAGTCTAAAACAATGAATAACAGGTAAAGTTAACCCTGTGCTTAACTAATTAAGTACTATGCCATGAAGGTAAAGGTAAGAAGTAAGTAAAGCAACATTTCAACTTGTAAATGTCCTTGTTCTGCTAATCTTTGTTTACAATGTTCTACAGTTATAATAATGATCCTTTCAAATTACTTATGATCATATCTGTGGGCCATATGCTGCCAGCTGCTAATCAAGAACCATCATATTTGCTGGATTCCATTTTTGCATTTAGTTTTAAAATCTACTTTTGCACCAAAGATTTTGTGTACAATCCGTAGCCTCATTAAGAAAGTTCATAGGATGAACAGAATGTCTATTACTATCTTCTGTATCTGTGGGTTTTAGCAGTTAATTTAGTTTAGTTTAGATTCTTCCTTTTTAGACAATCTTTTGACAGGGGATCCAATTTTCATAAATTACATTAAAGAGCTTTTCCTCTGTTACAGTTTCGTAGTACACTTTCTGATATGATTATTGCTGTTGGCCTGGCCCTTCTGCTCTGTTTATGTATAGAAATGCCATTTTCAGCAATAACCACAGTATTTATTCTTCCAGGTAAGTTAATTTATTAGTCCCTTTAATGCTGGCTTACATACAGGAGGGCTATTCGGAAAGTAACCTCTGGTGAGCTGTTAACAAAACAAGCAATGTGAAAAAAAATGTATTATATGCAAAAAATACATACATACTTAAGCTACTTCCCTATGTAGTCACTGCTGGAATTGAGGCACTGGTCATGCTTGGGAATAAGTTTTTGTGTGCCTGTGTCAAAGAAATCTGCCACCTGAGGTCAGCCATGTTTTGTATTGCAAAACACTAAAAACCTGCATAAGGCCATTCAGAACAAAAGGTGAAATACTGACATCTGGTGTAGTGTTCTTCCATGACAATGTGTGTCTGCACACTGCTGCTCACACTCGAGTACTGCTGGAGCATTTCAACTGGGAGCTGTCTGACCACCTTCTTTACAGCCCTGATCTCACTCTGTGCAACTACCAACCGTTTATCTACCTGAAGAGCTGGTTGGGATCACAGCACTGCAACAATAATGAGAAGCTGATGAAGGTGTCAAAACATGACTCAGCTCACAGGTGGCAGGCTTCTTTGACACAGGCATACAAAAACTTATTCCCCAATACAAGTGCCTCAATTCCAGTGGTGACTACATTGAGGAGAGGTTAAATATGTACATATTATAATGTGTTTTGTCTACTGAAGACGCTGTTCAGATTGTTAATCGGTTTTATTAACAACCTACAAGTCATAACTACAATTAATTATGACACTGTTATGGGTTTACACAATTTACAAACCTTACACACTAATCTATTCACTCTATCTTCAGTAGTCTTCACTTATTTACAGTACAACATGGGAGCTATACAAGTGTCACTGAATTATACACTCCCAATACCTTCTCAATTATCACCACTATCACTAACTGTCACACATAAACTCTTCTAATGACGTGTTCCTCTTCCCACAACTGACTGACTTCTGCTCCGCCGAATACTCCGAATACTAACTAACACTGTCTTTGGTAGCTGCTACATTTCAACTGACTCCTCAGGCATTCCAGGTTTTCTTATAAACCCTCAGTTGGACAGCGGAAAACGCACCTCGCTTCACTATTGCGTAATCGCCGTGTTTACAGAAGCGTTGCTGGGCAACACTGCGTAGCAACCAGCACACTTCAGCTCAGCTAGGCACAGCACGGAGATACACCTCTTTCCTTACTGTTGTGTAACCTCGGTTCCACTGTTGCATAACTTGACAACTGACCGTTTATCAAGAGTCCATCTTTGTGGTAACTCGTTCCACATCCCGTTGCCCAACAATGGTTTGATATGTCACAATATTTTTTCTACATAATTTTTTTCCCATTGCTTGTTTTGTTAACATCTCACCAGAGAATACTTTCCAAATAGCCCTTTTATAATTTAGTGAAATGAGAATAAAATTAGAGGAGTTATTTTGTGTTTTGCACATAACTACACTAACTTCATGCATAATAAGGAGGTCATTTTGACCTGTCCATTTATAATATCAATAAAACAAGACACTTCAGTTTAAATTGCATACAATTTTTTATACGTTCAATGTACAGGAATGATTTTGGTGTTGATTTTACAGTAGATTTGAGGAAATAATCCATCAATGGAAAACATGTTTCATATGTACACCACTGGCATCCAAGACCATTTGTAATTGACGCTGAAAACTGGAAACTACTGTACTTAAAGAATCTGCAGTGAGTCTGATGAGTCCTTTTATAATACTGGTTCTGATAGTGTTTTGTAATTTTGCTGCAAGATCTCAAGGTCCAGACAGCACCACATAAAAAAAGTTAACAACAAAGGCATCCATCTACAGGCAGCAGCTGATGGGAAGGAAGTCACAACTATGAAACTGCTGGATGGTAACGAGAATCACAATTCCACAAATAATAGCACCTCTTCACATCTGTAGCACTTCTATTGACATAATTATAAATAAAATAAGTGGCTTCCTAAAATAAATCAATTAACAGGATGATGGGTACTAATGTGGCCATCAACACAACAATCTATGAGTAAATAAAACTAATTTTAATATGTTAATATTTGTTTTTATTACATATTGCATATGTTTCTATCAAAATGATCATTCTCAGGTTATGTGAACATATACTGTCATTACTGAATTGTTTGACTAACACAGATCCACATCAGTAAATGAATTTTAGGGTATGTATTGTGTGACTGTCTTAACATATGTATTAACATATTGCATAAGAAAGTTATACAATACATACCCTAAAATTTAACAAAACATTTACATTACTGTATCCATGTCAGTCAAACAATTCAATAACAGTGGTATACATATTCATATAAACCACCTGAAGATGATCACATTGATCAAAGCAAGTATGTGGTATGTATAATAAAAATAATAACATATTAATATTAGTTTTATTTACTCATAGACTGTTATGTTATACCTGTTTTTTCTAAAATCTTTGAAACATTAATATATAACAGAGTAGTGAATTTCTTAAATAAACATAATTTGATATCTGATGCCCAAAATGGCTTTAGACAAAATAAATCAACTCATACAGCACTGCAATCATTTATTGAGGATGTTCAGAAAGCATTAGACAATAAGTTTTTTGCTTTGGGTATTTTTTTGGATCTTTCCAAGGCTTTCGATGTGATAAACCACAAATTACTGTTGGCTAAATTGGAACTTTATGGGTTTAGAGGAATTTCACTCTCTTTGATGAGATCATATCTTATGGGTAGATCCCAGTTTGTAGAAATTGACCATGTTGATGCCAAGTCTCCAAATCAAAAATCATTCTCCTCTTGTAAGGAAATAAAGTATGGTGTTCCTCAGGGTTCGGTTCTGGGACCTCTTTTGTTTTTAATGTTTATAAACGATTTGCCTAAAGCTGTTCATGAAGCGAAAGTTGTTTTATTTGCAGATGACACCAATATACTAATTATTGAACAAAAATCTTAAATC